TGCCCAGGTTCTGAGATTTTTGTGGGAAACTGAGATTAACAGCAGTGGACTAATTAATCTATTAGAGGAACTTTCAAGGCAACCTAACATTTAAGCATGGATACTTATGGCTACTTTCAGCCAGATTTACAGTAAGAATCAGGAGCAAAAAGCCCATTTTAAAAGTTCTTCAGTTTTCCCATAAAGCAAGTGCCTGAAAAGTGGGGGCAAAGGACAGCATGATTGCTAAACATATTACCATTAAAAATAAGCCAAGTGTTTTGTATCAGGACAATAAGAAAGGTAGTTTGAAGTCCTCTCAGGAATCAGCAAGACCCCTACACCTTATGGCTTCAACTGTGCAAAACCATAAAGCTTTCTCTTCTGGTTTTTGTCTAGATGTCCCCCCAAAGTCTCATACAGTCATAGGGGTTTTGGGGGAGGTGGCTAAATCTAGAGTGTGTGATTGAGTCCTGGTTTAATGCTGGGATTAAGTGTGCTGGGATTAAGGGTGGGTGTTATGGTTTGTGTCTGGATGTCCCCCAAAGCTTCATGCAGTTATAGGGTGGGCTTCTAGAGTTTATGATTGATTCATGGTCCAATGCTGGGATTATGGATGTGAGTGCTACACCTGCCCTGGGGTGGGTAGTTGCATACGATACAAGGGAGGGAAAGAGGCTTGCTCTCTACTGCTCCCCTCCTTGTGATCTTGTTACTTTTGCTGTCTTCCACAGCCATGAACTGTTGCCCTCTGCCATGTGCCTTGGTGCCAGCTGAGTATGGACTGAAACCTCTACAAACTGTGAGCTAAATAAGTCTCCATTTGTCTTACAAATGAGAGAAAAGTAACCAAGACAGAATTTGGTACCAGAGAAGTGGGGTCATTGCTATGACTGTGCCTAACCATGTGATTCAAGAGCCTTTGGGAATGGCTCATGGGAAGAGTTTGGGAAGGTTTGGAGATGTCACTTGGAAGAGTAGAGCTGAAACATTTTAAACTGTTCTATATGGGAGATTCTGGTCAGAGCTTGGAAGACCAGAAGGCTGATAGAAATCCTGCTGGTAAAGACCAGGTTTGGAAGGTTTCTGCTGAGGATTGCATTGGTTGTTGGAATCCAGATGATGTGTGTTATAACTTGGCAGAAAGTTTGTCTACATTTTGCTTGTGTCCAGAGACTTTGCCTGAGACTGAGAGTAAGGGCAGTGGACTAACTAATCTGGCAGAAGAAATTTCAAGGCAGTCAAATGTTGAGGTAGTGGCATGGCTATTGTTGGGGGTTTTTAGCCAGATTTATGTTAAGAATCAAGAGCAAAGAGCCCAGCAGGATGATTTAAAACATTGTGAGTTTGGCCAGAAAGAAAGCTCCTGTAAAGCTGTGGACTTCAGAGATAGAGCTGAGGAGATCTCGATTGCTGAGGAGGAACAAGAGAATTGAAAAGATGGCCTGAGGGCATCAAAACAAGCAGCAAGTCTCCACCCTTTGCAGCCTCCAAATTACCACGGTGAAAGACTTTGCTTTGAGAAGAAAGCCGCAGAGTGCCACATTTCAGAATAGTGGCAGCACAGAAAATTTGGTCCTCAGAATTAAATTCAGAGTGCTCAGTGATCCAGGCACTTGACCCCTAGAGCAAAGAGAGAAGAAAGCCTGGCTACTGCTCCAGCTGGCAGCAGACCTTAGTATTATCCACGTGGTGCTGGTTTTAGGTGCATGCAAAATGCAAGAGTTATGAGGTTAAAAAGGCTTCCATCTCAATTTCAGAAGGCCAGGGAGGCCAGGTAGTGAGCCCCTGAGAAGGCAATAATGTGAAGCTGTTAGTGAGAAGTCTAAAGTACAGTGGAGACCTCAAAAGTTTGGAAAAGTTAGGAATGTGGATCATCTAAGGAAAGTTGCAAGGACGGAGCAAAGCAGGCCTAAGAGAGAAGCAATGGGAGCTACAACCACCAGAAACGCCATAGGGATGGAATTACACAAGAGCTTTGGAGCTCACAGTTTCCCTCACATTGCTTCAAATGTTGCACATAGAACTACAGGACTTAATGTTTGCTGTGCTGGATTTTGGACTTGCTTTGGTCCCAATGCTTTGTATACCCTGTTTGTACTTTTGGGATGGTAATGTTTATCTTGTGCCACTGACTGTTGAAAGTGTTTAACTTTACATTTGTTCAGGGGCTCACAGCTAAGAGTTTGTCTTACATCTCAGAGGAGACTTGGGACTTGATGTTTCAGCAATGCTGAAACTGTTAGGACTTTCGCCATGATTAGAGACGGACTATAATGCGTTTTCCATAAGGGGATGTACATGAGTCTTTCGGGGGCCAGGGGTGGAATGTTATGGTTTGTGTCTGGATGTCACCTCCAAAGCCTCAGGCAGTCATGGGGCGGGCTTCTAGAGTTTATGATTGATTCATGGTCCAGTGCTGGGATTATGGGTGTGAGTGCTACACCAGCCCTGAGGCAGGTAGCTTGCATAAAGGGAGGAAAAGAGGCTAGCTCTCTACAGTTCCTCCCTTTTTGCTCTTGCTGCTTTTGCTGTTTTCCACTGCCATGAACTGTTGCCTTCTGCTATGTGCCACTCTACCTTGGAGCCAGCCAAGTACAGACTGAAACCCCCACAAATTGTGAGCTAAATAAACCTTTCCTTCATTAATTTTGGGCATTGGGTATTTTGTCTCAACAATGAGAGAAAAGTAACCAAGACAGTGGATGATTGCTGGATCAGTCCATTGATTGGATTGACATTCCCTTAATCCTGGTAGACTGGATATGCAATAAGGGACAGACAGAGGCTTGTCTCCTCCTCTCTTGTTGCTTTTGCTGTCTTTCACTGGTGTGAACTGTTGCCTCTTTTCATGTGCCACCCTGCTGGGAGGCAGAGATTAAATATTGAAACCTCTAAAACTGTGAGCTAAACAAACCTTTCCTCTTTTAACTTTGGGTGTCAGTTATTTTGTCTCAGCAATGAGAAAAGTAACAAAGACACTTTTGTTTGAGAAAAGAGCCCCTGAGAAGGAGGGCTTGTTTAAAAAGGGCCACTAAGGAATTGGTTCCCTAGGATTCATTCAGTAGTGTTCAACCATTCAAGCACTCAGAGGCTTCTGCAGCCATGGTCCAAGGGGCAAAGCTATGCACCAGTTGGCAAACCTTGGCATTAGCCATGTGCTACCTGTTTTACAGGTATCCTCCCAGAGTTGTAGGGTCATGGAGGCTTCCATTCATGTTTCAGAAGACGGTCTTGAAGGCCAGACAGTGTGCCTGAGAGGATAGTGCATGAAGCCATGATAGTGATGCCAAAATTGCAATAGAGACCCTAGAAAGTTGAAGATGTCAGGGATGTGGAATGTCTGCTGAGTAAAGCTGCAGATGGTGAGCAGAGTCACCCCAAGAGAAAGGCCATATGTGTTGCAACAGGCAATGCCATAAGGGTGAGGCACTTCTGTCATGGACACAGCACTAAGAAGTTTCCGAGTTGCTCTGGGTTTAAGGAGAGGATCCTATAACTTCTGGAGACATGGGTGGAGAAATAGGGCACACAAAAGATCTGAAAGGAGAATGCTAACAACCTTTTCAACAATGGCTGTGGCAAGTAAGAAGACAAGGCAGAAACACTTTCAAACTCCTCATAGAAAAAATTTTCTTACCAATAATTCCACACCCTGTTAAAGTATCAAATGTAAGTTTGGAATAAGGACAGTTCACACACACAAGTTCTTATAAATTTAAATTGGTCTCCATCCTTTTTGCTTTCTAAGAAGCTACTAGAGAACATGTTCTAGCAAAATGAGGAATATGTTTCAGCACTGGGGAGGACATGGGAGGGTATGATCTTGAAAAGAGGAGTGGGGTCTTCAGGCGATGATAAAGGGGTTGGGACATGGGTAGCTTGTTGGAGGGAGAGCAGCTCAGGTAGAGAGCCTGTGGTTAAGAAGTATCCAACCAAGTCAGATAAGAGTGCTGTATGGAATTGGGCAGTGAGTGTCCCTCCTAGGACAGTCTCACAGCTGCTTCATTTTATTCCCTGGACAGACAAGCTGGGGCAATGTCACATCATGTCATATGGGGAATTCACCTAATTCTCACATGTAGGATCTTGGGTCAGATCCTAGGGTTGCTAAGGGCAATGCCAATATGTGGCTCAGGAGTGGTGGATGAGTCCTGTGGAGCAGGGAATATCCTGAAAAAGGACAGGGGGCCTTCCACATTAGGAATTGGGGGCCCCGTGTGTCCACTATGGCAAAGACTTCTTTACTTCACAACTCCCAGCTTCTCCTTTCTGGCCATGTCCAGAGGATTACTACAACCTTTCTGGGAAGTTTCAAATGCTGGTGCCACGTTGCTATCACTTCTGCAAACCAGAGTTCCAGGGAAGTAGGAGGAATGTAGGAATGTCCCTGCCCTAGGTGCCCTAGTTGGAAAGATAACTGCAATCTTTTGGAGGTGCCTCAGTGCCTAGGGGCTCTGAGTCCTGAGGAAGAACAGGGTAAGAATGAAGGCATATGTCACCAAGGTAAATCTCTACTTCTGGCACATTACTGAGAAAATGCACACCCCAAGGGGGAGGAATTAGTGCAATCAACCCCCACAACATCAGGAAAACATCAAGGCAGCCTTAGGGTCTTGTCAGCACTGGGGACATCCTAGTCTTGACTCTCTGGATCCAAAGACTCTGAGTTTGAGAATTCACTAACTAAAATGATGTGATTCTTATCATCCACATACTGAAGCCTGTTTGGTGTTAAGTCTAACCTGACACTGAGAGCAGGAAGCCTTTCATAATGCCTTCTGTTGGAACTGAGGAGCCCTCACTTGTAGATTTCTTGTTTTAGCCCAAGTGGGAAGTAGGCAGCATAGCTGGTAGTGATGGAGGGGCAGATGGGAGGTTCTGCCTGCCCTGTGAGGGCTTGGTTCATGCTCTTAATAGCCTCAGGTCTCTGGGCTACTCAGAACCAACAGGGAGGGTGTGAGGGGCCAACAGAGTGACCAGAGCCACATGCACTGCCCACCCAGCCACGTGTCACGTACCAGCCTGCGGATCTCTCGCTCACACTCCTTCTTGATGCGGCTGATCTCCTCCTGGTGCAGATGGTACACACTCCTGATCTCTGCAGCCTTGATCTTGTCTGCCTGGATCACTAGTGTCAGGGCCTCCTCTACCTGCTTCTTGGCCCCCTTGAGCTCTGTGATCTCTTGCTGCATTTTGACTTTCTCCACCTCGAACCCCTTCTTGGCCTCCTCCTTGGCCTCACACAGGAGCACTGTCTTGACCTTGTCAGGTGCGCCATCGCGCATGGTGTTGAGCAGCGCCTGCAGCCGCTGGTTCTCGTTATCCTTGATCTTGATGACCCTCAGAAGCTCGGCTTCATGCTGCCGCAGCAGTGCCTCACGCACAGCCTGCAGCTCCTTCATTTTCTCCTCGTGCAGCTTGGTCTTGAGCTCTGTGACCAAGACTGCGTGCTTGCGCTGCTCGTGTTCACGTATCTGCCTCAGCTCTTGGCTCTTCTCCCGCTCCACTCTGCTGACCTGAAAAACAACAGAGACTGCAGTCACCAGATCCCTGAAGGCCTGAATCTGTATATGTTCAAGCAAATTTGGAGGACTTGTTTCTTGCAAACCTAGGAGGTATCCTCCATCCTGGAATGTGCCTTAAAATGTCAATTAAAACCCCAAATCAAACCCATGTGGTAGAGTGTGGATATGCACCATGGACTCTGCAGCATACCTAGCTGGGCACTGCAACAGAAGGTCAGACTGTGGATATGCTCAGCTTACGGAAGTCTGCTCTGGGCCTATCTAGGAGCAGCAATGCAGGGAGGTGAAGCCACAGCCCAGGAGGTCAGTAGGGCTTCTCCGCAGGCACAGTCCTATGGGAAGCAGGGTGAAGGCACTGACAGGGTAAACACATATGCAGGGATCTTCAAGAGGGCTCTGCCTACTTCCACCAACCCCTGCTTCCTCACCCAAATAGTGGGGATGCTGCACTTATATACTTCTATGACACTCTTGACAAATGGGGAACATATAAGCAGCCAAGCTGTCTCTCTAGATGATGTCTAATCTCCAGGTTTTGGGAACACTAAGACTGTGGACTGCATGTTTCCCTTTCATCCAGATGCTTCAACCTCTGGCTGAGTGGTTATACTCCTATAATCTGCAGACCTCAGGTGCTCTGGATGAAAGAATGGCTAAAATCCAGAGGTGTTCTGATCTGCCCTATGGCTAGAGACTCAGAAGAGCATCTGTGCAGCAAGTTTGCTCTCACTGCCTTCACCCCTCTTAGGTCCCCACCCTGCTGGGGAGGTAGGCTCACCTAGCGCCACGGTGTCAGGTCCACAGTGGTCTCCTGTCTCCCAGAGAGCACTGGAACATGGCACTGATGCCCTGCCTCAGGAGACTCATAGGCTCCAGCCTTGCCTGGCTACTCCTGCCTCAAGGACAGCGTGCCCAGGCTTCCATGCCTCTCAGTTTTGGAGGGAATCATGGTCTTTCTCCTTCTGCCTGTGCTCCTTCTGAGGCTCCAGGTCCACCCTATGCTGCTGACCCCCAAACTCATCTCTGGTTGGGCCCCTCTCTGGATCACCAAAGGCCAGCCCACTTGGGGATGGGACCATCCCCCATCTTCCTCCAAGACAAGTCTGAGGCCAGCTTCCTTCCTGGAGGCTGCCCTCACTCTCTGGTCCTCTTGGGTTCAGCCAGAAGCTGGCCCAGCGGCACACAGGAGGATTGCAGCTGCCCCTAACATCTCACTGCCAGGCCCAGGAGGGCTGTCTAGGACCCAGCCTCTGAGAGGAGGAGGTGGCCCTCTCTTAAGGCTGGATTGCTATTGGCTTGCTGCTCTGGCTTGCTCCCAATAGTGACCCCACCCCCTTTTATAGAAGGTGTGCATGGTCCTCCTGTTATAGGTAGTACCTGTGGGAACTTTTCTCAGACATGCCTGCGGAGCCACCTGCCAAGACCCTGAAAAACAGCCACCTAGAGACCTCTCATACTTAATCTGCACAGGCAAACCCCTCAGGCTCCGCCCATCTCTATGGTCTCCCATTCCTTTAGGTGGTACTTTGCTGGAGCCACTCTTCTGGGCTCCACCTTCCCTCACCTCCAACCCCCAAATACCAGCAAGCCTGCCACAGCACCTCCAAGCAGACACTAAGTCTGGCACCTCCCTGCTGTCTGCCCCAGGGCCGTGTGATCTCCTAGCCCACCTCTCTGCTCCGCTATCTTCAGTCTCTCTTCTAAATAAAAGCAGTGTGCCCTCAAGACTTCACCTGCATGACCTGGGGCTGCTCAGACTGATCTGAGGAGAATGAAGTATGAGTTTCAGGCCTCTGCTCCCTCTCATGGCCCAGGACTTTCCTATGTGCCATTCTGCACCCTTCCCTCAACAGGGGCACAAACTCTGGTTCACAAACCCTGGGCCAACCCCGGTCTCTCATCCTCCTCAGTGCCCCTCCCCAACCCTGCCCATCTGCTTCTGTTCCTGCTGCCTGATGCTGTCCTGAAAAACTTGGCTGGGACCTCTGCAGTCTCCTGGTGTTATTCCCTCCACCACCCAGCCCTGTCACCACTACCCAGACTGCTATTCCTTAAGACAACCATGGCACACATACCCCAGCACTTTACGCTCTGCACAACAATGATCACTCTGTATTAGTCAGCTTTCTGTTACTATAACAAATACCCCAAATAAATCAATTTATAGAGAAAAGATTTATTTCGGGTCACTATCTGGAGGTCCTAGTCCATGATCAATTGGCTTCATTGCTTTAGGCCCAAGGCAGTGTCATGAAGGAGGAAAGCTCTTCATTCAAGGCTGGGTCTTGAAGGAGAAAATAAAGGGAGGGACTGAGGCCTCATACCTTTTCTAATGCATGTCCCAGTGAAGGGAAGACCTCTCACTAGGCCCTGCCTCCTAAAGTTTCCACTACCTCCCAATAAGGCCAGGGGCTGGGAACCAAGGGCATTTGGGGGACATTTAAGACCAGACCAGGTTCTCTCTGTCCCTCTCTCTGAAACTTCCAGGAGGCCCCTGACCATCCCTAACTGTACACAAGACGAAGTGGCAACAACCCAGCTGTTTGTAATAGCATACTTCCTGGGTGTGCCTTGTTTATCTCTGTGACTGTTCTATCTCCCTCCTCAACCAGAGGCGAGTTTCCTGAGAGTGGTGGCAATAGTGTATTAGCCTTGTTTGGTGCTATTTTCCCCTCAGGACAGGCATGTGGCACTGATTCACAGTAGGTGAGCAGTCCTCTTGTTCTGTGGGGTTCAACCCTGAGACCCCACCACAGGGATCTCCTAAGAACCCTGCAATGCCTAGAGAATTCCACCCCGATGTCTGTGTGTGTCTCTCTCTGTCCCTCTCTCTGAAACTTCCAGGAGGCCCCTGACCATCCCTAACTGTACACAAGACGAAGTGGCAACAACCCAGCTGTTTGGATTTCTGCCTAGGTAAAAGCCTATTCAGAAAGCATAGAGCAAACATATTAATTCCCTTTCCATTTAAAGCACATCTCTTTTTGTCAGGATATGCAGGTTCTGGATATGGAAAAGGAAAGATTTTTATGTTATTTCCGGGTCATTTTCAGTGTGATGATTAGTGAGCCCTTTTCTCCCTAGGTGGACCACTTCAGGAAGATTCTAGAACACGCTGTGTATAGGGAAGGACGGCAGGGGAGGGAGATTATTAGCTTCTCCTCTGAGGGGCACAGTGGATCCCAGAGCTGAATTTGTGGTGACATTACTGGTGGCAGTACCTTGGGACTTAGAGTCTGGCTCACCTTCCCTCTTAGCAGATGAAATCTTCACTCTGTGAAAACTTCTCCAATGGAAATCAGAAGAGAAGAGAAAAATGATGTAGCATGTATCACAGAGTAGATTGTTTTGAGCGGGGAGAATGGAGGAGAAAAAAATGTAAGCAAAACAGTTAAGGTTAGGTGGGGTGAATCCTGCCTTCAAGCAGTTAGGGTGATAACGGAGCCCATACTTGCCTCCTGACTATGAGGCTCTGTGATGGATGAAGGTCTCAGCCTGAGTCGGTATCAGACATACACAAAGGGCCTGATTAAGATTTCAGCACCAAGAAGAGGCCCTTTCCTTTCCTGACTGCCCTCAAAGCACCCAAAATGCAATAAGCAGGGTGAGACAATTGGCTTCCAACAGCACACTGAGAGGGGCTCCCAAATGCAAGCTGGCATGGTTACTGGAATCCAGGCAGGAACTAAGCACACCAGTTTCCCAGGAGGTGCTTCTGGCCCTGGAGAGATGTTGCTAAGCTAGTCTCACCCTGTACTTCACCTTGCTGCACTTGAAGGTTAGCTCTCATTGAACTGCAGGAAGGCTGACCAAAAGGCAGCCGATCACAGCACTATGGACTGGGTCTCTGAATTCTGCTCACCAGGCAGCTCCAGCAACAAGCTTCTTTCTGAGGTTACATCCATTGAATGCCAGTGAATGAACGCCTTTCCTCTCCAGCGTCTGGGCTGAAGAGCGAAGCTCTGCCTGCTGTCCTGGAGAGGATGGATGGAAGGTGGCCCTAAATAGCTGGCCCTGAGCTCTAGATGACTCAGGGTGTTTTCAGGAATGAAAAGAAGCTTTCTAAGAACCTGTCAAGAAAATTTTCCACCAAAGAAGTGCTTGACAGCTGCCTCCCTGAGATCCCACAGCTGGATCCTGACTGACAGGATTCTGTAGACTTCTCAGAGAGCAAGGTAGCCCTCAACACCTGTGGGGGCCCAGAGGGCTGCTGCTCCTGGGTTTTCACGTGCAGGTTTTTCCCTTCCCCTTGGTGCTTTTGGCCTTTCCGCAGGCACTGGACAATGCATTTGGGAGACAGTTTCTTCTCTTAGGTATTGCTTGGTCGCCATGGAAAAGCAAGATGTGTGCTTGATAATCCCTCTAATTACTCAGTTGTAAAGGTAATGACTTGGTTTCCTGTCAACGTCAAAGGTAACCAATTAAGTGGTTTTTTAATGAAAACATGGATTTAAACATACTAGACAGGTTTTGGGGAGGGTTGATGGTTTGTTTTTTTTTTTTTTTTTGGTCTTTTTGAAACAGGGTCTCACTTTGCAGTTCAGGCTGCAAAGCTTTGAGCTCACTTTATAGCCCAGGCTGACCTAGAACTCGCAAAGATCCTCCTGCATCACCTCCCAAGTGCTGGGATTACAGGCATGCGCTACCACACCCAGTGTTGGCAGGTTTTTAATTCTTTGCAAATCTCATTCTCACTGACGATGTTCTCTGAGCACAGCCCCAGGGGTTTCCCAAGTTTTGATATGTGAGATAGTCCAGGTCCATTTTGCTCATCACCTATCCCAAATTTTCTCCAGTTGCTCAGACTTCCTTTCAGGGGAAATGGTATTTCAAGGCTACAATTAAGGCCCTTGAAACTGTTTACGTTCCTTGTAAGGTCTTTTCAATGGATAGAGAGATTTCTCACATATCATTACACACACACACACACAGATATATCTCTCTTTTTTTTTTCTGTTGTTTTCTCTCTCTCTCTCTCATATCTTGTAAAT